GTTTGAGGGGAGAGCAGAACTGAAGGAAGTTTTTAGTAGAAAAGTTAGGATTCTTTGGGAAGGAACTTGTAATGAAGGATTTAGCATAGTGCCTGGCACATAATAGATGTTTAATAAATGTCTATTGACTGACTAAAGGAGAGACTAAAGAGTCAAGAAAGAGAAGAAAAAATTAGTAAAGCTAAATGACAGGAAAGAAAAGAAGGAATAGGGTCAAGAACCCTGGTGGAGAGGTTATAGATGAGAATTATGTCTCATTTGCAGATTGTGGGGATCATGAAATATTAAGATGGGAAGGAGGATATTATAAGGTGGGCAGAGTAGACTCCGTCTCAATTAAAAAAGAGTTAAATAATTTCTGCTAGGAGATACCATGGGCTGAAGGGGAACAGAAAAGATTTTTGAACAGCACTATGTGAAATTTGATAGGAATCAACAAGGGAATGATAAAAAGCATCATTAAACATCAACAAGGGTCCAAGTGAAATTAGATAGCATAAATTCATTGGACACTGAATCAATTGGCTTTTCTAACTTTCTTCCACAAAGTTCAGTGGTCTGAAAGCAGGAGCAGAGAAAAACAAATGGTTGTGGTGACCCAACATGAAGCATAAGTATGAGAGGCAGAAGTCTCACTCTTTTTTTTTAAGTACTCTCCATGTATACTTTGCTTGACACTAGAAGAGATATCAAATTCATATAAGAAATGGTCCCTTCTCTTATGTAGCTTGTAGAGTGGTAAAGCGATAGGATACATCTACAAATAACTATAACACAAAATCAGAGAGAGTACATCCGTTAGAGAAGTAAAAACCAAGGAGTCAGGGTTCATAGATTTTGAACTGAAAGAGACTTTAGAGCCCATCTAGTCTAGCTTTACAGATAAGGAAAATGAGGTCTAGAAGGGTGAAGTGACTTGCCTAATATTACACAGGTGGCTTGAATTAGAATCCCTATCCTCTGAATCTAATCCAACGTACTTTCCAGTACTCTGTTGCTATTACCATAGGAAGAGATCAGGGCAAACAAGCTTCATGAAGGTGACGACATTTGAGTTGGACTTTCAAAGATGGGTAAAGATGGAATAGCACAGGCTCGAGGGGTGAGGAAGAGGGCAGCAAGAGAGAGGGTATTCCAAGTGTATAGAACAATGAGGTACCAAGGTTGAAAAAACTGCAGATTGTGTACGATGGCATAAAGTTGGTCAACTTGGCTGAAGGGGAAAGTATTTGGAGGGGAGTAAGGGAGGAGTGTCTAGAAAGGTCAAGTTCTGTCAGGCAGTGGAGAGCTTGGATACCAGGCAAAGGGGTTGGAATTTTACAAGAAGCCACTGAAGTGATTTTTTTGAGCAGAAGGGCAATGTGATCAGGCCTAGACTATATAGGCTTATAAAGCTTTTTTCATCCATTAGATACCTCTTTTCCACCTTAAAACAATCCTGGGATATAAGCTTTATAGTTATTATTATCCTTATTAAAAAAAAAAGACGTGGAGCCTTAGAGGGGTTAAGGGGTTTGCTCATGGTCAAACTAGTAAGTACCCCAAAGAGGATTTAAACTTAGTTCTTGGCTGACTCCAAGCCCTGTGCTAACACAAATGAAAGGATATTATTCAACAGCGGTGGTGAATCAACCACCTCGGCAGGGCAATGGGGATTAGTGGCTCCTGAGAGGAATATTTGGGAGCTTCCCCAAGGGAAAAAGTACTGCAGGGATGCCATATAGAATGCAAACAAAACTACAACGTGGACTCAAGCCTTAAAGAATTAGCATTTTAGTGCTTTCCACCTTCATATATATCACAGACCTTTTAAGCTGCTTTGTTTTGTCCCGATCTAAACACACCTATGTCAGCATTCAGAGGTTCTGTGGTCTAAGCTGTGCAGACAGCAGTGCATCCTCTCTCATTTCCATTCATGACCCCCATACCCTGGAGGCCTTGCTTAGTGTTAAAACTTGCTACAGTACATGGGTCCCAACATATCCCTCAGCCTCTCCATCTCATCCTTTGTTTTTGCAACATGACTGACCCACCACTTTGTGTACATTTCCTGGATGAATATGTTTTAGGCTAAATATCATTTGTAATTTCCCACGGCAATACAATAAAACTTACTTATGCCTATCACTCTTCATCTCTCCATTGCCTTTTGACCGACCCACCATTTTTAGAGGTTGTGGTGTTCCATGATTCACAGAGATATAACATCCCTGGGATGATGTTTATGTTAAAAAGACAGCTTGTGTGAGGAAGTAGTTGAAAGCCCTGCAGTTTTCCAGATTCAAACCAGCATACTCCCTTTTGTCTTGCTTAATTAGGAGCCCAGTTCATTGTTCATTTGCAGTGTTGCTGATGCTGAAAAATGGGAAATGGATAAAGGCAAAGACAAAGATCAAAAATTATGATCATAATCTTACATAAAACAGTCACCATAAAGAGGAGGCCTCGTCAGTCAGCAATTGTTTGGCCTGCATAGCAGAGATATGGCATCCAAGAACAAACACAGTTGAAAGTGCAAAATCCTTTGCACAATATAATGGAGATAAAGATTACAATCAGTATTTCTTAATAAAAGCAGTGAAAAGCAGTGAAGGGGAAAATAGGTTTGCAGAAAGATTGGCAGGAGGGTCAACTAAACCAGATCATCCCAAGAGCAATTATAGATGAAACTAGATATTTTTTAAGATGGAAAATGGAGCAGATTTTCCAGCATTTATATACCCATCTATTCTCATCACTGATAACACCAGAACTACCATATTTGGACTCATTATTTAATGTGTTATGGGCTCCGTGGGAACTACTGCCCTTACCATGTATTATTTGTATTATGTCTTATGTGAGGCATTGTATTGTAGTGGACAGAAAACTTGCCTAAGCATTAGGAAGATCTGGGATCAAGTCCTATCCCCGTAACCCTGGAAAGTTATTTCATTTCTCAGTGCTCAAGACAACACTCAGAAAACCAGAAGTCTCAAGGCACCTAGGTAATAAAGTGGATAGGTCACTAGGTCTGGAGTCAGAAAGACCTGATTTCAAATCCAGCCTCTGATATTTACTAGCTGGGTGACCCTGGGCAAGTCACTTAACTTCTATCTATGCCACTTTCCTGAACTGTAAAATGAGGATCATAATAGAACCTACCTCCATGGATTATGGGAAGATCTAAATAAGACAGTATTTGTAAAACACTTACCACAGTTCCTGGCACATAAAAGATGCTTAATCAATACTTGTTCTCTTCCCCTCCCGTAAGTTATAGAGAATGCACATTCACCAAGCACAGATTAGGTTTAAAAATATAATAAAAAAGTGTGTATGTATCCCATCCTCCTGTTAGACTGCAAGCTGAAGAGCGAAGGTACCACATCTTACGTAAGTTTTGCATCTTCCCCAAAACAGCCAAGTTCTTTGGATCCTCCTATAAATTTAGGCTGTATGAGCTTAGTCTGTGCGAGTAGCCCCTTCCTCAGTGAAGATTTCAATGCCTCTATGTCTTGGCAGACGGTTTTTATTTACTGCTATGGACAAAACCTTTTGTCACCCTGCAGCCAGAATGTAAACATTTTTGCAAACTTAGTGAGGTCAGCTAACATGGCAGACACATAGGCCATCCTTGAGCCTGCAGCCAGTGGTCTTCTAACTTGGTCGGCCCAGCGCAAGCTAGTGCCTCACTATCATAACTCTTGAAAACTCAGATGAGAAAATTAACCTAAAGTAGCGAAGTACTTCCCAGGTCATGCAGGCACGGCAACAGGCTCATTATGTGACTCATGAATCTTCTTACCCATTGGTCTCTGACAGGCTACGGACACCACTTCCTGGCCAGTTGAGCCAGGTAGTCTAGGTGTAGGGCATGGACATTACAACGAGCAGTTATGCCTCTGTAGCTGCCTCTGGGAATCTGGCACAAGATCTCTTCTCTCCATAGCATTAGACATTTAATACATCATTGGATTTTTCATTGGCTCCCTGAATGTTGACAGTGAGTAGCCCCTGCCAGGGTGACTTGCCAGCCATTCCCCAGAAGCAGTTGATTCAAAATGGTAAAGCCTGGCATTCCTGTCATTTTCTTGAAACCCAATATCCTTTATTTAAAATAACTTTGGAGTGTGCTTCTCCTGTATGTAGCAGTCAAATATAACATAAAATAAATGGCATCAGACAGACAGACACTGGCAACTTTAAGTACAGGAGAAAACATTTGCCTCCAGCAACTCCCTCTTTTGTTTTGTTTTTGTTCCTAAATTAAAAAAAAAGTCAAATAATGAAGCCCTTTTCAAAAAACTGCATTTCAGATTTCTGGAAAAAACAAGAGCATCTTTACACAGGAACACAGAACACTTGTTGTGCTATCTTCTAGCTGTTGTCCCTGTTAGGCACACAGCAAGCCCTCCACTCTGAGAGCTAGTCAGGAGTCTTTGGTGGCCAGGCAGAAACCAAAAAGCTCTTTGAGCCCTGGTCTGTTTGCTGTTGTTGTTCTTGAATCCACTTTTTACTCTAACACCACCTCATTAGGGTTCCATGAGAGCTGACTCCCCGTTATCCCCCTCAGACATTTGTGGCTGCCCACGAATCACTCTGAAAGAAAGAAAGCAATTTGACACCCTGCTGCTCCGAATCTTGGCAGCCCAAAGAAATTGCCTCTTAGAGCTTATTAGGTTTATAAACAATTGAAGATTGTGTGTGTGTGTGTGGGTGTATGCATGTGTATGCGTATATATGTGTGTGTGTATTTTCCCAGAATAGACTTAAGGGACAATCCATGGATGAAAGATACAAAACCAATTTAGGGAGAATCAGTTATTTCTTCTCTCATCTACTGCATTCCTCCTCTCCTAACTACCTTTGTAACCTTGTAAATCTGGCAGGCTCTGGACATTTTCCATGCTGAAGAAAATCAGTGTTTTGCCTCAAGCAAGGAACATAAATGTTGCAACACTGACTCCTCCTCTAATGGAGAAAGAGTGAACAAGTGCATAAGAGTAGTATTTCTCGCAGAGCTGTCAGGCTGGATCCAGTGTAGTCAGCTCTGTAGTCCATAGATATTCTCTCTCTCTCTCTCTCTCTCTCTCTCTCTCTCTCTCTCTCTCTCTCTCTCTCTCTCTTTCATCTTCTTCTCTCAAGATACACCAACTGTTCGTGAAACAGTTTTTACCCACAATGGATTTTCATGTCCTTTTTCAGGAAGTGTCCCTGGATTGACATGTCCTCTACCTGACTTGGTTCTCTGGCACAGGTGAGTACTGTGTGGCTAAACCTGTTTGGAAAGCTGTGTTGACCTGACTTAGTGATGCTAGAATGTGTTGGGTTGTAAATTAGGCTGTAGGTTTACCCTTCTGCATGTATGTAGGGTGGGGAAAGGACTGAAATGTGACAAAGGGTCAAGGGCTATTGAAGTAAAAAAAAAAAAAAGGCAGAAGAGATCAAGGTCCTAGCAAATGCATGCTTGATGCAATTAATTCTCCAAAGAGCATGTGGGGAAAACAAGGGCTCTGACCGCAGTCTGAGAATCATCCCTTACTCTAAGGCACTAAAAATAACTTGTAATTGAGAGGGTTTGGTTTCCTCTTGGACACACATAAAGGGCTTGACAACTGCCCACAGATGCATTAGCCTTTTCAAAGGTGTCATCAGATGAACCCTGGAGAAGGAATCTCTGTTGTGATTGTGAGCTTTTTGGGATGTAAATGATTTATGTCAAAATGAAAAGGATGAGGGGGAAGAGAAGGGGTCTAATAGCATAAGGCTGATTGACAGTGACAGACTGACTTCCAAAACCACTACATTCCCAAGCATCATGGGGCAGGCAGTGAGTGCAGAGTGTCTACCTGTAGGAAGTCCCATCATTTGACTAACTACAAAAAGTTTAGTTACCTGGGCTTACATACTTGAGGACTGCTCCCTGAGAAAGATGATGGGGGGGTGGGGAATAGGGGAAGGGAGAGGTATTGATTGAGTATCTTACAAATGCTAAGGAGAAGACTGGCAAAGTAAAGAAGGAAAAAATGGGATAGTATGTTGTGAGGGAACCAGCAAGAGGCAAAGGAAAAGGGAGCGGAGAAAAGGAAAACAAACTCACTTGGCTAGAGAGCCAGAGAGCAGCAGCAGCAGCAGCAGCAGAGAGATTGGAGTAGCTCTCTCCTTAGGAAAATATCCTTTTACTGACCTCTACCTGTATGTAGGGGAAACAATCTGTGTTGCCTAAATAACAAACAGTCTCAACTTGGGGTTTTCCATGCCAGGGCCTAAAAGTGTGTAGCAAAACAATAATTCATTAAACACACACACCCGCACACACACACACACACACACACACACACACACACACACGTGCACATGCACACACATGCGAGGTGAGTCCAGATGGATTCATTCATCTCCATTCATCCCGACGTCTGGCAGAGAGCCCCGTGCTCATTCTCACTGTCGTCTTCCCTGGGGATTCATTCCAGTCTTAGTGAGGCAGCCCCATGAGTTGTGTGACCTTGGACAAGTTGCTTTACTTCCCCAAGTCTCAGTTTCCTCCTCTGTAAAATGAGAGGGTTGGACCACATGATTTCCAAGGGCTTTTCCAAATTTGAAATTATATGATTCTTTGTGGGGAGAAGGGAGTGAGTAGAGACAGAGAAGCTGTCCAAAACTTCAGCCTTCCACTGGAAGTGGCATACCACTCCAGCCATCCAGCAGATGATTTCATTTTATTGATTAGTTCGTTGCTTTGTGGCCACTCAAGGCAGCATGGGAAGGGGGGGAGAGAGAGAGAGAGAAAGAGAGAGACAGACAGACAGAGACAGAGAGAAAGAGAGAGACAGAGACAGAGACAGACAGAGACAGAGATAGAGACAGAGACACAGAGAGAGAAAGACAGAGACAGAGATAGAGACAGAGACAGAGAGAGAGAAAGACAGAGACAGCTAGAGACAGAGACAGAGAGACAGAGACAGAGACAGAGAGACAGAGACAGAGAGAGAGATGAGCAAGGTGTACTACTTCTAATGCCTAAGCCTGCTGATAGTAAATGATTTGCTTCTGGAGGAACCATAGCAATCTTTGCCTACCAATAATCAAATGAGATAATGTATATAAAGTTGTTTAAAGCTCTATATCAATGCTAACTATTAAAAAAAAAACACCTAGATTTGTAAGTTCATTGGCATAGGGAACTCCCAGTTAGGAAATCCCTTCTACCAGAGCAGATCAGCATCCATTCTCCCACTTAACAGAGAACTGCCAGAAGCCCTGGGAGGTTGTTCCAAGTCAATTTATGTAAGAAATGTCTTTCTGGGTCTTTCTGACTTGAAAGCCATCTCTTTCTCCCCCTAAATCACTCTGCCTCTGACACAGCTAAGCTTGGCTATAGTTTTTCACAGCTCCCTGAGGTAATTGATAGGAACAAAGAATCTAGCTGAAAGGGGTTATCTAGTCTGACCTCCCCATTTTACAGATGAGAAAACTGTGTCTTATCAAAAGGGGAGTGACTTGCCCAATGTGAGTTGCTGCAGAGCCCAGTCTTGATTGGAGTCTTCTTTCTAACACACCATAGCATTTCTCTGTAATTTAATTCAACAAAAAACATTTTAACTCTGTACTTAGGCATCTTTACTGTGCATCTCTACTTGGAATACAAAGATGAAAACAAACTCCAGTCTCCAGAAGGTGAGATAAGACATGCACACAATTGTCATACATCAACTAGAGTTGCTGTGAGGATCAAATTAGATAATAATTGTAAAGCATGTGGGACAATGACTGACATGTAGCGTTAAATAAATGTTAGTTATTATTTAAGACAGAACATGATAGATAGAGGTGACATGGTACAATGGAAAGAGAACTGTCTCTGGATTTCAAGGACCTAGGTTCAAATCATCCCTGTGCCACTTAGTACCTGTATGATCTTGATCAAATCACTTAACCTCCTGGGCCTCAGTTTCCATATCTGCAAAATGAGTGAATTATGCTTGATGGCTTTTTGCACCACTTTCAGACCTATGACCTTAAAGGGCAAACAGTCAAAAAGATGTGCCATGAGAAGACTGGGGGAGAAATCTCTTCTGGCTGAAAGGCTTCCAGGAGGAGGTGGGACCTAAATAGAGCCCTGAAGGAAGGGATGCATTTCAACAAGAGGAGTTGCTGGGGAAAAGTCCATTCTAGGCAAGGAAGTCAGAAAATCACCAAGGTAACTAGGAGGAGGAACAGAAGAGCTGCCAGTCACCTAGACTATCATATTTGACAGCATAAGCAAAGACTAGAAGAAGAAGACAGGCTAGAAAGGAGAGAAAATGAGTAGTCTAGTAGATAGCTAGACACCTCAATGGATAGAGTGCTGGGACTGGAGTCAGGAAGACCTGAGTTCAAATCCAGCCTCAGACATTTACTAGCTGTGTGACCCTGGGCAAGTCACTTAACCTTGTTGCCTCAGTTTCCTCATCTGTAAAATGAGCTAGAGAAGGAAATGGCAAACCACTCCAGTGTCTTTGCCAAGAAAACCCCAAATGGGGTCACAAAGAGTCAGACACGTCTGAAAAACAACTGAACAACATTCCATTTCCCTTTGCTACATACTAGAGCAGGAGCCAGGGTCTAAATGCTGGATGGTAGAGTTTACACAGATAACACTATTCCTTTGGACCTCTATAAGCTGTCTGCAGGTGATCTCTGGGACTCTTTAGTGAGTCCCTGCTCTGCAATCAGTTCTACCACTATTATGTGCTATAAGTATCAAATAATGGTCATTATATCTATATCTATCTATCTATCTACAAATACATATATATGTATATGCTATCAACCCGCCCTGCTCCATGGAGATTATACTGAGAGCAGAATGAATGTAATTACCAACCTAAACAATTCCCTTAGTGTATAGCATTATTATTCCTGGGCAAGTAGGTGGGAAGACAGACAGGGATGTGGAAAATGCCAAAGCTAATGCTGCCTCAGTTGTACCATGTGCCCATTGCCATGAAATGGGGATTTGTTGTTACCTGAGGTTAAAATGAGCCTCGATTGTCATCAATGCTCTGATTTCTCTTCTCATGAAGTTTTCAGTCCTACTGTCTTATATCCAAAGCCCAGATGTCAGTTCTGGGACCTGAATTAGAGAAGAGAGTGCCAACTCAAAGCCAGACTTGTAGCCATCCAAAGGCTGCTGGTACAAATGTATCTACTTCTAGGCTTCAAGTTTCACCGTCTGGAAAATGGATTCCAGTGCTAAATTCTCCCTTGTTCTTTCGGGCTCTGTGACCTTCACCACTCTTTCAAATTCTAACCCCCCCCCAAAAAAAAGAAAAACCTAACCTCTAATAATTAATGGAAAATGTTTTCCAAACCTATACACAAGGTATAGTGCATAACAAGCTGGTCTTGGAATCAGAAAGACCTGTGTTCAGGTTGTGCCTGTGATACAAGTTCTCTGCATGATCATGGGTAAATCATTTACCTTCTTGGTACCCTCAGACAATGCTCCAAGTTTCTAGGTCGCAGAGCAGATATCAATCTGCATTATAGAGTATGCTCCTTTACTGGGAGTTCCTTACAGCAATGAAATCACAAGTCTGGACTCCCAGTCTTCCCTCCAAAAAGATTTGCTACATAAAAATCATTATTAACAATAATAATAATATATTGTGTGGTGCTCTAAAGCTTACAAAGTCATTTCCTAGCAATCTGTATAAAGTAAATGCATTATTATCATCCCCCGATCTACAGAGGTGGAAACAGAGAGGGATGTTAAGTAACGGCCATACAACAAGGAAATAGTTCAATAGATCTCAGGTCCGATACTCTCTCCACTATACCATGGGACTCTCAGCCACAGCATCCTTACCATATAACCACTTGCCCCCATCACTGGCCTTTGCAGCTTTTGACAGTGTCAACCATTCTTCACTTCCCGGATAATTTCTCCTCCTGGATATTAGCTTTCAGGGCACTCCTTCTCCTACTTCTTCACCTACCTGCCTGGCCACCCTTCTCAAACTCTTTTGCTGGATCATCATCCATCTCCCACCCCTAACCATGGATGTCCAACAAGGCTCTATCTTGGACATTCTCATCTCTACAACTTCTCTCTTACTAATGCCCTCAGTGTTCAGAGACGCCGTTATAATTTCATGCAAATGGCTCCTAAACCTGTATAACCAAGAATAACATTTCTCCTGAACCCACGTCACCAAATGCCCATTTAATATTTCCATTGGGTTTCATATAAACATCTCAAACTCAAGACATCCAAAATAAAACTCAGTATCTTGCCCTAAACCTTTTCCTCCTTCAAACTGTTGCATTTTTGATGACACCATCATTTTTCTGGTCACCCAGGTTTATCACCTCTGCTCTTCCCACTCCCTCACCTACCAAGTTCCATTAGTTGCTAAATCTTACTGATCTTTCTTCCACAACACCCCTCTCATCTGTATCCTCTTCATTTCTGAAACGACTACCTTAGTTCTGGCCATTACCTCTCACCCAGGCTATAGTTTCTCTATGGTCTAGTTTCCCAATCTCTCCTTTTTCCAATGTATCTACCGCACAGATACCAAATTAATATTTCTGACCAAAGTCTAATGATGCTGCTTTATTGATCAAAAACTCTCAATTGGTTCTCCATTGTCCTTATAATAAAAAATACATCCTCTGCCTCAGCACTTAAGGCCATCCATCCACAATCTGACTTGTATTGATCTTTCCAGACTTAACACATACTTCTTCCCTTCAAAAACTCAGCTTTGCCAAACTGAACTACCAAATGTTCCCTGAGCTCGATGTTCTATCTTCTACCTCCATACCTTTGCTCACCCTAGCCCTCAAATCTATGGGTCTTTCTTTCTCCTTCACCTCATAGCTGGTAATCCTCTTCCTGGGTAAACTCTTCCAGTTGATATGTGCTCTCCCTCCTCAATCTGTCTGGTACTAATTTATTCTGTTTATATGTTCTATTTCATACACACACACACACACACACACACACACACACACACACACACACACACACACGCCTTAAAGGCAGGGACTGATTTTGCTTTTAGTTTTATATTTTCAGTGCTTAAACATAGTTGCTACTTACTAAATGGATTAAGAACTACTTACAAATCCTGAATTCTCCCACATATGTTCTGGATTTTCCTACTCCGTTTTTTGCTCATTTGATTTCCTATGCCTGAAATGTCTTCCTTCTCTACCTTTGTTACATTCCTATTCAGTGCAATAGCTATGATAACTAAGAATTTTTGCCCCTAGAACAATAGGCAGGAAACAAAGGTGCTTTGTGTGGGATGGGGGGAAGGTGAGTGAAAGGGAGGGGGACAGAAACAGACAGGCACACTTGCATTCAAAAAGTAGTGAGGGGTAACATGGAGCTCCCACCTGAGGTTGATCTGGTAGCTTCTAGTTAGACCATGAATGGCAAATTCAGGGGTCCTGAGATAGTGAGCATGGAGATAGTGAGAAGTCCAACACGCTTTTCTATCCACCCACCTCCCCTTTCTTCACCACCAGCAGGACACAGTTGTGACTCCAGTCACCCACTTCTTTTTTTGTGCTGGTGAGATCAGACCCAAGCATTGGGTAGCAGAAAACAAGAACCCTCATCTTTCCTTGTTTCCCATGTACAGATGTGATCCTAGGTGCCTCTCTCCTCCTCCCAACCTTCAGAAAAGCCCAATTGCTGAGGACAGAGCCAAGACTTTGTCAAGGTAGGAGAAATGGGAACTGAAAGTTGGTAGGACCCTTGATACTAATTGGAAGCTCTCTCTTGCCTTACCTTATGGAAGTTTGGCACTGAGGAGCCACTGCTCTGAGGGTCCTCTGATCTTGGCCTCACAATCCTGCCTAGGCATTGTAGTGCCAGAGAAGCTCCTGGACCAGTCTAGGGTCAGAATGGACAGATTCTACCCAAATCCAAACCTTAATCCAGAATGGGTAACTCCATGCTTCCTGTCCACTCCCCTGTCCAGGTACATAGCCCAGCCCTAGCATGAAAATTGGAACCTCCCATCATTCTCATTCTTCTCCAAGATTTACTTGGGTGGGAAGAATCCAGTTTGTTGGAACACTAGCAGACCTTGGAGGGAAGAGGAGATACCTGATTCTGACTTCCACGGACCTTGGTGAAGGGCAGTAGTGTCCTACAATAGGACCAATTCAGGGGCTAAGCAAACTGAACTCTCCTGAGAAACTGTGTTAATTGGCGGTCTTACCCCTCCTAACATCACTTTCTATGGACTCTTGTGGGTGCAGGTCAGGGAGGAGATAAGACATGGAACTGACTATTAGAGAGCCCTTGAAATTCAACAGTGCCTGGAAGAAGCCTTACCTGACCCACCCTGGTTGCAGTTCTGTTTCTACCTAATACAAATGCTACCTCCTTCAGGAAGCTTTCCTTTTTGATGATAACAAAAAAGGACTTCAATTTGTACTATTGTACTTATGCAATATTTTAAACTATCATTATCTGCATTTGTGTCTTATTCTTGTACTAAACTGTTAAGTTCTGTAAGAGCAGAGACTATGTCTTATGTAAGCTTTATACTTTATACTGACCAGCACAATCAGCTCTTAAATGTGTTAATTAAATCTGAATTTGGAATTTAGTTGTGAGTCCTTGGGCTAAATGTAGAATGCCTCCTGCTACAACCAGAAGCCTTAGCTCTCGAACCCAAAGATGAGGTTACAAGGTTGCCTTGGGCCAGGGATTGTCTTTGAAATGTTATTACTACTACGTTTTCTGTTTCTAATGGGTTTTGAAGGATATTTAGACATAGTTGCTGAGAGAAAGTGTTCTGTAAATAAACTGTTAAAGTTGTACAAAATGAATTCTTACATGACTTTTCATGGATTCCTCAGAAATAGTAGTATTTCAAGCTTCACAAACACAAAGCATCATCAGAACACTGACAATTTTCAAATGGACTTGTATATAACAGCAAGTAATTTGGAATTATGGAAGGCAATTACAGAATTTCTCAAATGCAATTTCTGGATGTAACTCATAATTGACATGCAGTCAAAAGGGATCTGTCTATCTGGGATCCATATGTCCCAGGTGTGGATACAGCTGGACTGTTTCAATAAACTGACCATCCAATTGCATGATAAATCTTAGAAACCAACAATCTCTGTATACTTCAAGTTGTATGTGACCCAAAGGACAATGGAGAGATATAGCAGATGCAAATATGTTTAAGCACATATCCAACAATGATGCAAAAGGATGAAGTGGTTTGGTGTTAGGGATGTTTATCTTCATTTGGATATGTGAATTATCAGTGTGGAAACTTTCTATCATAGAAATTCCCTCCTTGCATATGTTATAATATTAGAGCGTTGCCTGAGGCACTGAGAGGTTAAGAAGCCTGCCCAGGAAAAATGTCAGAGGCAGGAAGAATCCAGATCTTCCTGACCCTAAGACCATTCCTCTACACAGAGGGCCATGTCTGGTACATCTAAGTGTAAGGGATATAATTAAGGAAACATATGATTGGACAAAGAAATTGGTTCATCATGTAATAGAAGTGAAGGATAACAGATGGATTAATCAATCAATCTACAAGGATTTATGAAGCCCTTGCTATATGCCAAGCACTGTGGACACAAAGAAAGTTAAGAACAAAAACAAAAACAAAAAATAGCCTGAATGATGACTTGTAACCAGAAACTATAAAAATGACTCTCCAGTTTATTGGGTAGAATCTCTGATGTGGTTCGTCCTTTGTTTTCTGGCATAGTGCCTGGCACATACTCAGTACTTAGTAAATGCTTGTTGGCTGACTGATTTGGGATTTACATCACTAAGCCAGGATGTAGAGCTGGAAGGAACTGTAGGGATCCCCTTGTCCATCCATTTCATTTCTTAAAAGAATTTATTTTTTTCTCAATTACAAGTAAAAACAATTTTGACATTAATTTTTTTATAATTTTTGAGTTTCAAATTCCCTCCTTTTCTCTCTTCTCTCTCCTTGAGAAGGCAAGCACTTTGATATAGATTATACATGTGCAGTTATGTAAAACTTATTTCCATGCTAGCCATGTTGCAAAAGAGAGCACAGACAAAAAAAAAATCAAAAACAAAACCCCAAGAAAGATAGTTTAAAAAAAGTATCCTTCAATCTTCATTCAGACACCATCAGTTCTTTCTCTGGAGGTGGAAAGCATTATTCATATTAAGTCTTTTGGAATTGTTTTGGATCATTGTCTTGCTGAGAAAAGTATTAGGAGTGGGGAACCTGCAGCCTTGAGGCCACATGTGGCCCTCTAGGTCCTCAAGTGCTGCCCTCTGACTGAATCCAAACTTCACAGAACAAATCCTTTCATTAAGGATTTTATTAGCTGCTAAGTCATTCAAAGTTGATCATTGTGTAATATTGCTGATACTGTGTATAATGTTCTCTTGGTTCTACTTAACTTTACTTTGCATCAATTCATACAAGTCTTCCCAAGTTTTTCTGAAACCATTCTGCTCATCCTTTATTATGGCACACTAGTATTCCATCACAATCATATGCCCCAACTTGTTCAGCCATTCCCCAATTGATGTTTCCAGTTCTTTGCTACCACAAAAAGAGCTGCTATAAATATTTTTGCACATGTAAGACTTTCCTTTTTCTATAATCTCTTTGTGATACAGACCTAATAGTGGTATTGTCAGGTCCAAGGTTATGCACAGTTTTGTAGCCCTTTGGGGATAGTTCTCCAGAAGAGTTTATCAATTGATAACTCCACCAATACTACATCAGTGTCTCAATTTTTCTACATCCTCTCCTGAATTTCCCTTTTCTTTCATATTAGCCAATCTAACAGGTATTAGGCGATACCAAAGATTTTTTTTAATGTGCATTTCTCTAATCAATAGTGATTTAGGGCATTTTTTTCATATGATAGACAGCATTATTTCTTTTTCTGAAAACTACCTGTTTCTATGCTCTGACCATTTATCAATCAGGGGATGATTCCATCCCTTTGATTTTACTGATGAGGAAAGTGAGGCCCAAGAGATCATACTGACAGAGTTGAGATTAAAATTGAGTTTTCTGACACCAAATCCAGTATTTTTTCTACTATATTATACTACTTCTCCCTCTCACAGGTGGACCTTTCCAGGAAGGACGCTTCTTTGGGCACTTCAGATATATACATGACTGTGGATATATGTGTGTATATACATGTACTATATGTGTATGTGTATGTGAGTATATATGTGTGTTGTAGATATATGTATATGTGTGTATATATACATTCCATAAGTATTTGTATATACATTTATACACATTATTATAGATGTGTGTACATACATTATTATATACATGCCCATATGTACATTACTATATATATATATATATACATATAAAGATTATTGAACATATGTATATGTATATATTTTATTATAGATGCATATATATACATATAGATGCATTGTAGGCACATATATGTTACTGTATATGTGTATATATATGTATATATTATATATACACTTAAAATAGGTATATATGTATATGTAGATGTATTGAAGATATATATATATATGTTTGTGTACATATATACTGCATGTGTATGTGTATATGTGTGTATGTGTGTATTTGTTATGGAGCTGTGATTACGTGTGTGCCAAGATCTCCCAATGAGCAAGCCTCCTCCGCCAATAAAAACTGGCACCTTCTCTGCAACTTAACATCTCAGAGAGGTGCTTGGGAGCCTGGACCCCGTTTGGCAGCTTGCCTGAGATCACCCTGCTGGTGTGTGTCAGACACAGACTTTGAATTCAGCCTCCTTTACCCCAAGATTGACTCTCTATCCACTCTGGCACTTGGCCTTTTTTTCATCCGTAGCCCAAGCTAATTTCATCTTATTAGATTTGATTCAGGGTTCTAGCTTTTGTGGTTATTTTAAACTCTTATTCTGTCAGCTTATATACTTACTATCTCTTCCAGATTTGGTGAATCTTCAAATTAAATGAGTATACCATCTATGTCTTCAATTTTCACGGAAATTCAAGTTTGCAAGGGAATTTTTATTCTATTTACGGCAGATTTTTTCACGTCTCCTATGAGTTAGGGAATGGAGAGGCTTTGGGTGGTACAAATGGCCAGAGGGAAAATATTTTTAAGTTCTTTGAGACAGAATCTTATAGCAGAAGGAAAGAGATACTTTCAAGGTCCTACCCCTTCAGTTAGCAAATAAGGAAACACAGACCCAGAGAGGTGAAATTACTTCCTCATTGTCACTCATACAGGTGGAGTTGTTCTAATTTCAGTGGCTTTATTTACTAAAACAGGATAAATGGCAAGTTTTTTTCCCTTTCCTAAAGCCTCAAAGCCATTTTATGATGAATTTACTTCAAGCCAAGCATATTTCTTCCCTTCCATTACTGGCCTTTGGGGATCAAACAAGGTAACGTATGTGAAAGTATTTGGTAACCATAAAGTGCTCTATTAAACATGTTTTCATTAGTAATCGCCATATAGCAACACAATAAACATGAAGAAAGGCAATAGGATGACCCTGGCCAAATATGAACAGAGACACACTGGTTAGCACCCTTTTAACCATGTGTCTTCTTGCTGCTTTCTTCACTCTTCCTTGCTGCAAATCAGATAATGGATTTCAAAATACCCCCAAAATTCAAGGCACTATTGTTGCTTCAGTTAGATAGAACTATGGTATCAGCTCCATTTTTGTTGAGAAGGAATTCAATGACATGCACAGAGGTTCCATGTATCTCAGTGGATTAAAGGGTTCAGCAACCAAGCCAGGATTAGAACCCCCACACCCCGACCAAGTCCCCATGACCCAAGGTTGCCCTTTGCTTAATCAAGAAATCTCAAGTCCAACTGCTTGGAGGCACCAAAAGGAATTTAATTATAAACTCTATTTATTTTCAAAGGTCAGTGTGTATTTCCATTGTGTACATGAGGCCTTGGGCATTTGGTGCATGCTAAAAAAATGTTGTGGGGAGGGTCAATAAATTTAAGCAAACATTGCTAGGTCCTTTCTAAACCTCAAGCAAATAACAGCTCACATTCACATAGCACCTACAACCCTGTGAAAAGGGTAGCACAAGCATCATTGTTATTATTCTTTATAATGATATGTTATTGAGAAGTATTATGGTATGGTGGTTAAGAGTAAGCTTTGAGGTCAGGAAGACACAGGTTCAAGTGTAGCCTCTGACACATGCTGACTGTCTCAGCCTAGGTAAGATCCTTAAGTTCTTGGTGCCACCAGGAAACTGTTTAAAACTATAAATATATATAATTATGGGGACCTGTGATTTCATTAGTATAGGGAACTCCCAAATGTCTCTGCAACTAGACAACTAGATGGAGGGAGGAGAGGAGAGGAGAGGAGAGGAGAGGAGAGGAGAGGAGAGGAGAGGAGAGGAGAGGAGAGGAGAGGAGAGGAGAGGAGAGGGAATAATACAGAAAGGCAGTGTGGAGTGGTGCATAGAGAGTCCCAGGCTTGGAATTTGTTGAGCCCTTAGCACTAAATCCCTGACTGATATAAGAATAATAAAAATAATAATAGCTAACATTTATATAGCACTTTAAGATTTGCAAAGTGCTTAACAAATATTTATCTCATTTGATCCTTATATCCTGTGAGGTAAGCACTATTGTTATCCCCATTTTACAGATGTGGCAAACAGAGGTTAAGTGAGTTGCCCCCAATCACACAAATAGTAAGTGTCTGAGAGGGGATTTGGATTTCTCCCTTACCCAGGGTCACGCAGCTAGTAAGTGTCTGAGGCAGTATTTGAACCCAGGTTTTCGTGA